CACAACCAAGACACGTCCGTTCAGCTCGAGCGCTCGAGCAATAATTTGATAGATTAAAATGCAAAACACATGTAGTAACTTTTTAAGAAACACCCTCATACTCATTCTCCTCCTCTTGCAGGCCAGTTATGAAATTTGCCCATTGAATCTCAATAGGTATGGACTTCTAAAAATGTCGAGGAATCCATCATTTATATTAATGCATAAAATTCCTCCATTGGTATTCTATGGAAGTGAAACGTTCAACGTTGGATACAAATGCTCTCAGTTCCTGAACAGCAATTTCTGTAAGAGGCTTCAGACATTTGCTTGGAGAAAAATTCGCATCACTTCAAGAAGTTAAAAATTTTCGGGAGTCGTAGGCTCAGGGTGTTTGAGAATAGAGTGTCAAGATATTTCGACCGAAGAGAGATGAAGTGACAGTACATTGGAGAAAACTGCATAATTAGGATCTTCATTACATGAACTCTTCTCCAGGTATAATTACAATGATCAAGTAAAGGAGGATGAGATGGGCAGGTCATGTAGCATGAATGGGAGAGGGGAAGAAAGCATAAAGGATATTGGTGGGAAAGCTGGAAGGAAGGAGACCATTGGGAAAACCAATATATAGCTGGGTGGACAATATTCAAATAGATCTTAAAGAGACAGGATGGGACAGTAGGGATTGGATTGATCTGACTCAGGATATGGAGCACTGGAGGGCTCTTGTGAACACGATAATGAACCTTTGGGTTCCATAAAATGCTGATAAGTTCTTGAGTAGCTGCGCAACTGACAGCTTCTCATGAAGGGCTCAGCTCCATGAGTGAGTGCTTCTCTTTATGGTATCTATATTATCACCCAGTAGATTCATATCATCAGCAGAGAATAACAGCTGATGTGTCCCATTTAATTTTTATCCAACCTGGTTTACTTGGACCTTCCTAATAGCATATTCTAAAGCAAAGTTGAAAAGCAGTGGCAATAAAGCATCTCCTTGTTTTAGACCATTATGGATAGGAAAATTATCAGACAAATGTTTACCTATACGGGCTTTACATTTCATCTAAACAAATCTTAATCAGCCTAACTAGTTTCATAGGCATCGCAAACCTTATCAGAATATTGTACAATACTTCCCTCTTAACTGAATCATAGGCTTTCTTGAAGTCTACGAATAGCTGATGCACTCTCTAATTGTACTCCCATTTTATCTTCAGTATCTCAAAAATGCAAATGATCTATATGGTAGTTTATCTGTTACGTCGAAACCCACATTGATGATACCCAATAATTTCATTTATGTATTGACATAACCTTGAAAGAAGAATATTGGATGTTACGTCGAAACCCACATTGATGATACCCAATAATTTCATCTATGTATTGACATAACCTTGAAAGAAGAATATTGGATAAAATTCTGTATGAAGTTGACAGCAGTGGATATGCCATGATAATTACTACTGTCAGTTTTATCACCCTCCTTGTGAACTGGTACAATAATAGATTCCTTCCATTGATCAGACAATTTTTCCTTATTCCAAATATAATTAGCTTATGCATCTCAGAAGGTAATATTTCACCTCCTGCTAGAATAAGTTCTGCTGGAATCTGATCACTACCTGGAGATTTATACCTCTTTAATTTTGAAATAGGAATTTCAACCTCAAAAAGGCTATGATCAGGTACTAACCGCTCAGTTGTATGTATTTCTATCTGCCTAACATCACTGACCCTATGTACATTCAATAAATAAAATAAGTAGTTCTTCCACCTATTCAAAATGTTGTGGGAATCTGCAAGCAGATCACCATTCTCATCCTTCACTAAGTTACTTCTAGGCTGATAACCCCTCTTGAGTCATTTAGTCCTCTAATATTTTTGTTCTTACTGTTCATTGCAAGCTCATCAATTTTGTCTTTCAGATATTCCCTCTTTTTATTCCTGNAACGGAATAAAAGCCGGCTGAGCAGCAAGCGAGAGTCAGTGTGTTACCAACAGTTCTCAAGGTAGCAGCCTGCGAGTGTGCAATAACTAAGAAGTCAGCGAGTGGAAGACTTATTGTGTGCTTTTGAGACTTAGTGAGTGCTGTAGTACAGTCATATCNAGCTCATCAATTTTGTCTTTCAGATATTCCCTCTTTTTATTCCTGATATGCCTGCTGGTTTCACATTTTATATTGTTTAGATTATCCCCAATTATTTTGATTGGTTCCTGTAACCATTGTAATTTGGCTTGTTTCCTTCGGTCTACTAATTCTGAGCATCCTTCAGTTCGTAATAACATAAACTATCCTTGGCAGAAATTTTGATATTCTAATAGTTTCCCAAGCTTTAAACCAATTAACGATCTCTATGGCGTATTCTGTAACGAAACACGTTACAATATCATCAATTTTATCTCCTGTTGGGGANTTCCCAAGCTTTATTAACATCCACCTCAGTGTCTAAGTTTTCCAAAAGCTGTGAGCATATTTGAGATTTCAACACAATACTTCTCCTTACCCTCTACCTCATTTAATATCTTGAGAATGAACCTCGCCATATGAACTCTGTGCATTGTTTGTTTCTTCACTGCAAGTCTTTTTNAATTAACATGCCACCACGTTTCCGCAACCAAGTTAGGAATCATCTGGACAGAGATATAGCTGGGAGATGGATCAGCAGAGGTGGACAAATCGCTTGGCCTCCTAGGTTGCCAGATTTAACCACAGTTGATTTTTCGTGGAATTATATGAAGAACATTGTCTACCANTGCTGCCCTGAATGATTGGACATCAAGTATACTTGAATGCCATCTCCTGTCTATCTAAATATGGTCTATTGATTGTGTATCTTCCAATCAGGAGATGTCCAAATAAATTTATGGATGTTATGATGCGGGAACATCNGTAACACCAAACATGCTTCAAGAAACGTGGAACGAGGTCAAATCTCACTGGATATTTGTCGTGCTACCAAGGGAGNAGAACATTGTCTACCAGGGTAAGACTGACGAACTGCAACACCTGAGTGCCCACATAAGGGACGCTGTGGCTATGANTGTACTTCTGACACTAAGGTTTTTGATGTGGGAAAGTCTACTATAATTCCATTATCATTACTAATTTTGTGAAAACTCTCATTCCCAATCATTGGTTTGAAAATGTCTTATCTACCTACTTTGGCATTGAAATCTCCTAAAAAAATGTCATATGGTACTTCAGGAATTTATAACATACATGTTCTAGTTCTTTGTAGAACCTGTCCTTTATATTGTGACATGCTGCGCAACNAAAAAAAAACTTTTGATAGTTTCCCTTTGTAATGGTGTAACCTATACATGAGTATAATAAATGCTTTCTTAGATATAATTATTTTATTTTGGATACCTTTCATCCGGACACCCTGGATTATGCTTATTCATAAAGCAGGCAAAATATGCATTTATACGCACCATCAAACTATGTCTAAAATTTAAAAAAATGAATTCATGCATACAAATGAACATACTTTCTGGTTGCAAGAAATATGCATTTGCATTATAATTTGGTCCCTAGTTATAACTGTATTACCTTCAGAACATCCACATCTACTGTTGAAACACATCAGGACAATACAAACATTTTACACTAAAATGTTATGTATTGTTAATACGGCTGCTTTATAAATGATACTAGTAAAAAGCAAGTACTTTCATTATATTTCCATCATATATATATTAAATAAAAATTCTAAAAAAGTAATACAATATAGGACTGTTACATATTGTATGTCAGGTAAAAATAAACAATATACATTCTCATTCTTTATGGTAGGCATACCAGCTCCCAAATAACGACACAACCTTCTGAAATCTGATGAGCAATATGCAGACACATATTCATTTTAATAACATAACATACACACATTACAAAATATATTATAATGCTTATTGCACTTGCATGTACACATGTTCTTGTAAAACTGCTAGCTCATCATAAGGAGCATGCATGCCCCAGTTTCTCATTCAAATGACACAGAATTATATATAAAAATGTGGATGAAAATCTTTGCAACCTACTGCCAAATTATCACACTTCAATAAATAAATGTTTTGGGGATCTCCTTTTTGAAATGTCACAACCTTCACTCCAATAAACAAAGCACTGTATACTTCTAATTAAAATGAAAACCCATGAAGTTACTTCTTTAAGAATACCACACTAACAAGAGCCATCCCTAGGATATGGCAAGATGAGCAATTGAGAAGACTCCTACATTCTGTTAAATTTATTCAGTAAAACCAAGCACTGACAACAGCACTTGTCATTACTACAAATTCTACAGGTACAGATTAGATGGCTCTTCTAACCTAATGATAACCACACTTTATAATACTGAAAAGATATCTTCTATTGGCAAGAATTTATATATATTGCACTGGATTAAAATCATAATTATACTGATATTTCTGGGCTTATACTACAGCATATTTCAACTGCTAAATTATTTCTGTTGAATTACAACCCAGAGCAGTCTGAAATCTCATACCTGACGTTCAAGGAGCCGGTACAGCATAGTCAGTAACGCGAATGCTGGAACCACAGAAATATCAAAGACACGTCCATTATCAGGTGACAGCATGCACAAATCTCTCTTAACCACAAGTCAAGGTACTGCTGAGGACACTGTCACCTAGGCAGCCTGCCACAAGGCTACACCAGACAAATCAAAGTTCAAGGAGCAAGATTAGAAGGCTTCCAGTGCCATGAGACAGTAAAATAAGGTAATGAGTCCGGTGGGACTTGTGACCGAGATCACTGTGCTAGTGAGGGCCAGCAGCAATTTACCAGCCAGCCAGAGTTCAAGCCTGGTTAGCCTGCTCCCTCAGTGAAACAAGGAACTAAGATGAAGTGGAAACCAGAAAATGACAATGCAGGACAGAAGGGGGAGCAAGTTGTGGGGTGGGGGGTCAGTCAGTCAGTTGTAAACACTTGTAGATGAGGAACTAATGCCCAATAGTTCCATTTCTTACCTGAACCCACAGTGTTGTGATTTCTCATGACAATATTATATTTCAGTAACTTAAAGTATCAGATATTTTTACGCATCATTCATCATTTGGGGCAGTGTCTGCCTATCTTAAAACTACTACCATGATCTGTTATTAAAACTGTAGTAACAAAATATAAACTGGGCTAAAAAACAGTAGGCCGGCCTAATGAAGTAATGCCCTTCGCAGGCATTATTACCTGAGAAAAGCAGACATGATTAATTCAACCCATTTCATAGCCTAAAAATTCTTGTAAATTATATCCAAATAATTTGAAATCCATAATATATACATTATACAACTGCCTAATAATATCTTGTTGGAGACTATCAAAGTATTTTCGAAGCTTTGATGTAGTGCTTGATGATTTTGGGGCTCGTGGGAAGGATATTCCTTTTTCTCCTACCTGCTTTAGTATAAACTCTGAATCTTGGTCTAATGTCTCATATTTACCAATAATATCATAATTGATTGAGCATGGGTGGCACAGGTCATAGATTGGTCTCCAGTGTTCATTTAGCACACCTTCTTGTCCTACTAAATATGTAGCGAATTCTTTAAAAGTGACATCATCACCTTTTGTCAGTGATTCATTTGAAGGATTTTGTCGGTAATGTTTGATGATATGTCGCCCAAATCGAGACTGAAAATACTTTGAACTCTGATAATGTTGTTCTAGTTTGTTACGATATGCTGACAGCAATCGTTCAAATGGATGGCGAACAAACAGAAACTTTGTGAATGTATGCAAGATGCTGTCAATTTCCATCGACGAATAGTTGCTAAGCCTGGTAATAACATCTTTCTGATGAGCTGCACTGGCTGGAATCTTGAGGGGATCTGTAGTATTAGCCAATCCAATCAGAATCATGAATACGCGCTTCCAGTTTGTGCATGCTACCTGAAAAAAAAGGTAATCATTATATTAGTGTTCAATTCTATGAATGGAAAAAAGCCACATCCAGCTGTGAAGTCAAAGTGGGTACCACCTGTATTCTGTGATATGAGCTGTTATCATTTTGTGCATCTTTGTTTTTTTAAAAAAAGTACCAAATTATAACTTCTTAAGTATCTACCTTACATGATCAGTTGCCTTGGATCCTTTAACTGATCAAAGCCTTTGTTATGAGAGCTATACTGAAAAGTTATGGAATGAACTGTAAGTGGAGATGAATCCTACAGAGCTGGATCATATATAGGTAAAGACTCTATAATGACTGTGTTCTAGGTTACAATTCTGTGCAGTCTAATAGTTGGTTACCAACACTAGGTAGAAACGTACTGCCTCCTTCTTCTGGGTATAATTGAGTCACTTCGGGAAAGTAGCTGGTTATAAAATGGATAGATGGGAAGACAAGACCCAGACTGGCCACTGGGAATAACTGGTCCTGAGAAGGATAGAAAGAAGAGAAGATGGTTGCACCCAAAGCAAGTCAAAAGATTCTCAGTCACACTGAGAAGGAACATGGGAAGGCCATTTTCAAGGACAAGTCTTGTTCTGGCTTGCCCATAGCATGGGAATATTTTACTCTACCTTTCGCCTGTCCTTGAGGAGCTTGACCTTTCATGGTCTATGGTTCCTACTGGCCAATCTGAGCCCACTCACCCCTTCCCCATCCCTAACTCTGATCGGCCACTGTTGTCCTCCCCATTCCTCCCGCCCATTTCTATATAAAACTAGATGCTTTTTTTGGATGGCTCACTTCTACTCTGAAGATGGAGACAGTATGTTTCTCTGAAAAACTGTGTGGGAGTCTCCAACAGTGAAGAGCTACCCAATTGGACCTCACCATGGCAGCTTCAACACCCATTGGTTTGTGCGCAGCCTATGTGACAAAAGTATAAAGATGGGGATGTCCAACTCACTAGCATGAGTCGCATGTTACACTTACATCAATACAGGAGAACAAGAGAACACTGCAACAGCAGGTATACTAGTAGCAGCCATGGCAGCTGACACCACCAGCAATAGCCAGCACTCATTAGGCCAACTGGTCTTGCCATCATGTCTGTGATATTCATTGTAACAGTAACAAACATTTATTACAGTTTTACATGGTTGTCTCCTAGAACACTGACATCCCACGACCAATATCCACCTACAATTCTACATGGTGTCCATAACCCAGAAGACAACAATATGGATCCCCAGTGTTGCAAAAATCTCAAATCTTATACAGTCATTAATGCCGTAAAAGTAATATTACATGTTTCATAGGCAACGTGACAAGAAATTGCGTGGGTCTTTGATTTAGACCAATATGTTTATTGGACACTCACTTTTTACACTCACAAATATAATTATTCGCACTTATAACGTCTTCGGATGTTTCCTCTTCAGTGTTATACACTCTCGTACCATTAATCTCAGTGAAATGGCTTCTGCTTTGCTTGGAGCCCAACTGTCCTTAGCTCTCGTCAGATACGAACTCTACTGGTCTCTTGTCGGACACAAACTAACTGGTCTCTTGCCGGAGTTGGACTGTTATATCTTGCACTTGGGGTGAATAGGGAACACCTTGTCAAAGGGTTTAGTTTCACCCGCTGCTTTGCAAACGAATCTCTTGTTGCCGTGGGAATATATTTTTACTGCCTCAAATAATTTGTTGCTTAGATATTGCTAGCCTTTTTGTAATGGTGGAAAACCAGTGTTAGCTTCTGTGTTCTTCAAGCGGTTTCCTAGATAGCATGCTTCCTCAGTGTCCGTTGCATAGTGATGGGTGTCTTATAGTCTGGCTTTCAGGCAGCACGTCACAGTACCAACAATTTGATTCACATTTCCACACATAAGAGTGAAAATGCAAAAGTATTTCATGGTTTGATGATTTGGGTTGTATAATTTGGTACTGGATGAAAAGAGAGTTCAAAGACATGAAAGTATCAAAATACAGACTGTAACTGTCCTCAAGTATTCAAACACACAAAGTTAACAAATATTTGTAGAGTATCCAGTTGGTGTGACAATAAAATAAATGGACAGTTGTACTCGTAAAGTAACTGGCAAACTCATGTAGGCTCACATGACTAGAGGAGCCACCTGTTTCATGTCAATCAATAGAATTCAGTTCATATTGTCTCTCCAGCAAGTACTTCATTTGCATATTATTCTGTTTATCAAAAAATGTGAAAAGATTTTCTCAAAGATTTCTTCAAGTTGTTAAAAGAACCAGAATTTTTGGAACAAGTATAAATGATCATGAGATTTAAGTTATCAAGTATGATCAGAAATCAAAATACCACAACTTCCAATGGAAAAGTCCAGACATCCGAAGATCTAAAAAGAACAAATGTAAAAATTAAAGACCAACTACACATGACTTGCTTTCTGATAACAAAGCAATAATCAATTACTATTTTATTTATTCTGTAACAGTCAACCAAGTATTCTCCTCCAGTTCTGCNATATATATATATATATATAACCATGCTCTAAGTACATCTGACTTTATTTTGGCATTTATGGAAGGGTACAAAGATATGGGCCACCAGATTTGTAAGGTTTTATCCCAAACCATTTCTGCAAAAAATTCAAGTAACTGGTATTTATTTCTGGAGCCCCACCAAACCCAATATCACAAGCTCTGCACAAAAAAAAAAGATAAAAAGGTAAAGCTCTTGCTGTGCTTAAGCACCACACCATGATGATGTACAGGGGAAGAGAGGTATAGCTCCACCATTCTTGACCTTGGCACCAGATGGAGGTGAGTGGTCAGCTTCACACTCCCTGCTACTTTACCGCTGGGAAAACAGCCCCTCGTGTGCACTGGACAGGAGGCTGGGTGGGTCCCAGAGCCAGTCTGGACATTATGAAGAAGAGAAAAATTTTGATCTTGTAGGACTTGAAACTTGGCAGTCCAGCCAATAGCATGCTGTTATACCGACTGAACTATCATGATTCCTCCCACATTAATATGCATATACTGATCAATTTCATCATTCTGGATTTTTGATACTTCAACTGTGTTTCTCTCTGTTTCTCTCCAGAATGCTGATCACTGCTGCTCACACTTCCCTCACACAGTTATGCTGGTGGCGTAACTGCAATTGGACCTCATTCTTCATCATGTTCATACTCATCTATTAAATCTCGCACATCATGCATTGTCTCTTCACAACCTCACCCCAGTTAATGCTGAATAACTTGAGGTTAACATAACACTGTTAAGTACAGGGTGAATCGTATAAAACCGGCCCGATGAATTTGCTAATAATTCCGCAGGTGATGCATATAACCGCTCACAATTACGACATAATAATCCATGGGCTGTACTGAGTCGAATGGTGTGCGCATGATCCAGCAAGTGGCAGCCCTTATGCTGCAAGGTCAAGGACAATCCCGAAACGTGTCTGCAATGCTCAGGCGACAGTCATGATAAGATATGTGTAAATTACTTTAATATCTGTATGCTATATTTTATATTACAGCTCATTTCGTCGGGCCGGTTCTATATGAATCACCTTGTAACACAAATAAACCATCAATTGGATGGTTTAATGTTCTCATGACAGTGACTGATGATTCCTGTCTTCTGGGATGTAATGCCACATAGTTCAATATAGGATTACCAACATTTCTTCTACCCTGATGATGAAGGCAGCAGGTTACTCCATAATACAGGTAACAATCTAGCGCACTGCACAGTATCATATTTCAGAAGACAAGAATCATTACACAAACAACTAACCTTGTAGGATTTGGGGTTCTCAAGTGGTGGTTACGAAGAGTTCTTTCTAACTTGTAGGACAAAGTCCACTGGAAGTCAACCAACATTTCAATGATCATGTTGCTTCCATTTTCAGGGTCAAAGAATAAGTCAAGCGATAAACCAGCATGCAGCTTAATAATTCCTTCATGCTGGTTTCTTGCTTGGCTTACTCTCTGACCCTGAAGGTGGAGGCAACATGTCTCTCTGAAACATCTGTTGAATTTCAACGGCTTACATGACATGATATCCCAGCAGATTATTTTCTTGACAAAATTCTGTTCTTAATGACCAATCTTGTTTCTTGGATTTACAATGGTAACAAAAAGAGTCCTTCCGCACAGTATTCAATACCAATTTATCATCCAGATCTTCAGCATCTATTAAACTTTTGAGATATTCAAACTCCATTATCAGAGCATAAAAGAAAAAGAGCATATTAATTTATTTAACTGAATAGAGGATTTTAATCCAAAATTCCCTGGTAGTACAATGCTAGAGGCTGGATTCTGACACGACTAACAGAAATAGTATTGGAAAAATGCAATGCTTGGCTTACTCCACTGTGTGTACATCCCTTTACAACAGTGCAACTCCAAAGCAAAATATGACTAAAAAAATATGATTAACTACAAAAAAAAAAATGCTATCACAAAACCGAAAATGAATTATGTAAAGAGGGCAACTGTATTTTAAGCTACCTTGTTGTACTCACATGCAAAGTTCAACCTTACCGTAAACAGCTTACTAAATTGTGTCTGATATGGAACAGAAGATTTTTAAGTTAGATGAGTAGTCTAGTAAGGTAATCACTCAATGTTGATAAGTTGCATTAAAACAAAAGAAACAAAAAAAAACTACGTGGCCTGTAGTCCGCAAGCGAACTATACAGATCGAGTGGATAGAGTCTGTCATGTGGTCAGCGCAACGGTTATCCACGGCCGTTAATTTCTGTTTTCTAGACCGGAGCCGCTATTTCCTTTAGAAACACCTCTTCAATTAGCCTCACAAGGCTGAGTGGACCCCATTAGAGAGCCCATTACTTCTCAGAATATCTGGTAGCGCCTGGAATCGAACCCAGGACCTCTGGATCTGTAGCCAGGAACTTTGACCACTATACCACATGGGTGGTTGCATTAAACATACTCTAAATATTAAAAGTGAGCACATATCATGACTTAAATCATCTTACATATTATGAGGTGGGCAGGGCATGTAGCACAAATAGGGGAGAAAAGGAATGCATATAGCATATTGGTGGGAAAACTAGAAGGAAAGAGACCATAGGGAAGACCAAGGCATAGGTGGGTGAACAATATTGAAATGGAGATTAGGAGATAGGATGGGATGTTATGGATTGGACTGATCTGGCTCAGGATAGGGACCAGTGGAGGGCTCTTGTGAACATGGTTATGAACCTTCGGGTTCCATAAAATGCTGGGAAATTCTTGAGTAGCTGCAGATTTGGCTTCTCCTCAAGAAGGGCTCAGCTCCATAAGTAAATAAGTAAGTATAAATGAATGAATGAATGAATGTAGGAGGGGTAGGCCTTCTCGGCCCTTGCACCACGACCTACAGTGGTCTACTGTGCTTCCCCTTTTGATTATCCCCTCAGCAACCCTGCGCTTCGAATGAAGTAAGTACATTATTTTCTTACAGAACTGATGAACAGGCAGTACTGCTTTTCTTTATTCTTTATTTCTATGAAAGAAAAACAGACAATATTAATGTCATGTACATTCTGTGAAAGCCACATGACTGGCAAGAAAATTTTCAATTCTGTTCAAAATTTCATGAAGAAAAAGTAAAATTAATTGCTGTACATCTATTTACATGTGCCTTGATGGAGCCTAAGCAATGGCATAGTGGCAAGCATCAAGCTGCATGACCTACCAACAAGCTCATGCTAAAAGATGTAAAATGTATCAGAAATAAGTACTGGACATAGCAATAAATTTGGAGGTTACATAAAAGTAACTTTTTCATAGGGACATGAATGCCAAACATACAACACTATTAGTGCAAACAAAATGACGTGTTCCTATAAACATTCCAAAACTGAACCTATTTCAAATCTCAATTAGGTTTGCAGTTTTAAGAAATGTAAAATATACTCGTATGTAGTTATGAACTAATTACAATGACAGGACAAAAAGCAGTTTGCTTCTGTAATACATACCTTGGGTACATAACAGTAAAGTAATCTATGTTTCTGGTCAACCAATAAATGATCATACATCTCTCTGTATTTTGTAAGGTTTGTCTGATGTTTAATGTCCTGCATATAGCTATGACACATTTTCTGAAGATGTTCTTGCCGATCCAAATATACCATGCGGGTTAGCAGGATCTGATTGGAGTCATTGGAAAACAGATGACGATACACAAGTGGCTGTAATGTTCGATCTGTAAAAATAATAATTGTGATTCAAAGTCCCATGCATAAACTTACTAAATTGTTGAAGATTCAGCACTTGCACTATATCAAGCCACTGCTTTGCAGTGAAACTTGATTACAGCAGATAATACCAAAATGACATGACTCCATTGCCCACTAGTATCCTTTCTCTGAGATGATCCTTGATAGATACATTTGAAATAAACACCATGAAGGAACACAGCTTCTCATGTGAGACAATATTCCTTTAAGTAAGCGGATATTTCGCCTCCTAACGCAAACACTGGTACCTTCATCACAGTGGGGGTAACACCTGAAAACTGGTCTACCTAAGCCACGGTGTAAGGCATTGTGCCGAGGGCTGCATGGCACTGGGGTGGAATTTATCCAGTGTCATTAATGATATCCTCGGGGCACCAGGCAGCTCACCATTATATTTCCCCTCCCACCCACATGGGGTGCTGCGTGTGGTGACCTCTTAGCTCCATTCTATTCATGGGACTGCATATGGATAACAAGGAAAAGAAAACAGGTCTTCAAGATGCTAAAAGGAAGAGAGACTTCAGCTGGGGGCCAGGAGTTCTGACGCAACATCAAGGGGTTGCTAGCGCAATCAGCAAACCCACAGTTGAGCTTTCAGCCAAGGGCAGGGGTGAACCAGTAGTGAGAAATCTGCCTGAAATAACAGCTAGGACCCCTCTCTTGGGAGGCAACACTACTAACAGACAACTGCAGGGAATCAGCAGTTCTGGCACTCCTTTTGAAGAACGTCAGACTCTTAGCCTCTGGAGCAGTCAGGCGCCACCTAACATACACAAAACTGTGTGAATGCACTATGTGGAAGCTAACAAAGCGAGGACAAGGCAAGCAGGAACCAGATGCACCCAGCACCTGGGCAACATAGGCATGCCTAAGCAGGCAGAAACCCTGACTGGGACCTCTAACAGGCCTGAGGGTAGTAGCCATACTAAAAGGGTCAGACCTCCAAAAAGGCCCAGGGAATCTAGTGGACCAGGGACTTACAAGGAAGCTCTGACCAATAAAAGATAGCTATCTTCAAGGAAAACCATCCTGAAGATCAACTGAGAGAGAATGAACAAGATCACATCTTTGAAACTGGGAAGAGTGTTTCCTCGAACTCCGAAAGGAGGTGTCCTCCCCCCTTCACCTGAGGACAGAAATAGTTTCAGTTTCCGAAACATTGTGCTTTCTAACCTCTAGAATACCAGACGATGGAAAAAGTCCAAAACCCAGTAATTCTGTTATACACCATTGTCAGAACCCTTCAGAACCAAGTTGTGAGCTCATCATCACCTCAGCATACCTTCCATATGATTCAGAAGAACCATGGCCATCTAGGGAACTGAGTGATGTCATAAACTACTGCTGAAGCAGGAAAATGCAACTCATCATTGGGTGTGATGCCAATGCACACCACATATTATGGGGCAGCACCGGCACCAATCCCAGCAGGGAAAGCTTCATGGAATATCTGGTGAATTCGAACCTCAACATTCATAATCAAAGTAATGAGCCTACCTCTGCAGATTGCAAAAGAAAGGAGGTTACTGCTTAACAATAGGGACCAATAATATAGGAAACCTGATAGTTAACTGGTGTGTATTTGATGAGCTGTCCTTGTCAGACTACAGGTAAGAATGCTTTCAAATAGGTAATATAGCTATAACTTGAGTTACTTTTAGAGATCCCAAAAGAACCAACTGGAAGTCATATAAATATAATCTAAGGGGAAATCCTGAGACCATGATATGAAGTGTATGCATGATAAGGGACACACATTTGGCTGCTGAACAGCTGCAACAGGCAATCATCTTGTCCAATCATAATACCTGTCTAAGCAAGACCACTCACTCACCAAGGACGGCACTTTGATGGAATAAAAAACTGAGTGGGCTGAGAGCAAAAACAAAATGGGATCTAACATAGGCAAAATGACAGGTCAGTGGGATGCCTACAAGGAAACCCTCACCTGTTATAACAAGAAAATTAGGAAACCCAAATGTTTGTCATGGATCTGCTCCATGATGGAAAGCAGGAACATAACTGCAGTGTCAGGAGAAACTGTGAGGGGGATCCACATCTAGGGGATGTCCACAAGGGTGTGTGTGTATTTACCTCTGCTGTGGAACTTCACTGTGGATGAACTTCTATAGGGACAGTAATGATAACGATTATTATTATTATTATTATTATTATTATTATACAATAGGATATTCAGATGATACTGCAATCTTAATCAAAAAAATTTCCCGCGACTGTGTCAGAGCTATTACAGAAAACTCTAGTCATAGTGTAATAGTGGTGCGATAAGACAGATTTGTCCATAAACCCTAATAAGACAGCAATAATACCTTTGACTAGGAAGAGGGACATTAGGGGACCCAAGGAACCAACCCTCTTCAATAATACAATCCAGCTATCTAAGAGGTAAAGTGCTTTGGACTAACCTTAGACTATGAGCTAACACAGAAAAACTGGCTCGATAGGGTAACCAACAAGGCTACAGGATCTTTTGAATGTGTCAAGGCAAATTTGGAAAAACTTTGAGACTGAAACCAAAGGTGATGTATTGGATCTACACCGTGTTTGTAAGACCCAGCGTCACCTACGCTGCCATTGTGCAGTGGCCTAGGGTCAAATTCAAAACACATGAAACTGAACTAACAAATTGCAAAGGATAGCCTGCTGGGTATTACTGGAGCAATAAGGACAGCTCCTGAGGTTCTTCTTGGACTTACCCCACTGCACTTGCAGTTGGGGGTTGAGACCAGAGCAGGTACTTATAGACTGTACTGCAATGATCATTGGAAACCCAACTCTGAAGGTTTAGGACATGCATAGATGACTCAGTGCATGAAAGAGGAACCCTTCCTACAGTTGGGGACTGACAGAATATACTGAAACATGTCTATGACAAACAATTCAGTCAGATTCCTAACAGAACTGAATGGAAAGACAGATTTTCACCTGAGAAGAAGGGAGTATTAATCTGGTACACAGATGGCTCTGACCAACAAGGGCACTGGGGCTGGTGTGTATGGTTACGGCGCAAGGTGGAAGCTCAGCTTCCACCTTGGGAAATACACAAAAGTATTCCAGGCAAAAGTGTATGTCATCAAGGCACATGTAGTGGAGAATCTAGATAGGGACTATAAAAATAGAAACATTTATATTCTATCAGACAGTCAAGCTGCAATTGAAGCACTTGAAAATTACCAGATCAATTCAAAACTGGTTTGGGGCTGTCATTAATCCCTCATGAAAACTGACTAAATGTACCAGAGTCCAAATGATATGTGTGCCGGGTCACAAGGGTATTGAAGTTAATGAAACTGTCAATCAACTGGTAAGATTGTGGTTTGAATGTCCTTTCATAGGACCTGAACCAGCTTGCGGCATTTCAGCAGAAATTGCAAAGAAGGCAGATTGGACAAACAGAGACCATAGAAAATCCTTAACAGGACTCAAACAGGCAAAAGTATTCCTACAAGGACCCTCTGTCAGAAGAACGATGGAACTGTTAAAATTAAACAGACACCAGTTCCAGGGGATGACAGGATTACTTACAGAACACTGTCAGAGGAAAGGACACCTCTTCAAAATGGGATTGAAGGATATTCCCATTTGCAAAAGGTACCTAGAAAAAGATGAATCAGCCATATTCACCCTGTGTGACTATGAGGCTATAGCTTACCTAAGGTTCTGCCACCTGGGCCATTACCTTATGGAGCCAGGTGTTCACCAAGATGTCCCTGTAAGTAAGATACCACACTTCATTTGAAGTGTAAGATTGTTGAAGGACTGAAATAGTGGGGGATGCACAGTAAATTGTTATTACTTTGGGTATTCTCCTGCTTCAATTCCAATATATCTATTCTTTACTGTCTTTTATGGTTAACAACATGGATTCATATAAACTTATATTTGATATACACAATAGAAATAAAAGGTTTATAATTTTAATCTTTATCAACCTTCAGCCCGTCAGTCACTATATCTCAAGGGAGCTTATTATATGGGTATCACGGTGTTTAATAATCTTCCTGTTTTCATAAAGCAATTATATAACAATTTTATAGATTTTAAAATGGCTTTGAAAAAATTCTTATGTGATCATTCATTCTATACTTTAGATGAATATTTTGATTTTAGATTTGACAAAAATAATGATACTATTCACTTGTAATGACTGTCTGCCAAATGTTGTTGTGTTATGTTGTGTAATGTATGATTGATTATGTATGTTTTAATTGCTCCTCCTATATGACTGTTTCCACATCCTCAATTGTATGGATTTATGGAATGAAATAAAGAACTATGAACTATGAACTATTATATACAATTCTTTATTGGAGTCTGTCGTAACACAACAACATAACGGTCAAGGTAAATGTTACCTTAGCTACATGTTTCGGCTTATAATGCTGATTGTGATAGTATCACTATATTACTATCACAATGAAACTGCAGTTCAATAGTGTGTGAATAAAGTAATCATGTGTTTTGCTTTAACAGCCGAAACATGTAGCTAATGTAATGTTAACCTTGACCATTATATTGCTGTTACGACGGACTCCAATAAAGAATTATACAATTATACGATGTTAATCTGGTAGTGGATGTCATCTACATACATACATACAAAAAAACTAAAGTACATGATTTGTTTTCAATACACGTTCTCTTGTCATATAAGAAATATGTGAATCATACGTATTAATGATAATTTATTATATATGTTACTGACACTTAAGATTCAGCTTAAATTCTTCATGGAATGGATCCTGTGGCATGATTAAAACTAATCAATTATCATGTTCTGTCTAACACAACACAGGAGTATATAACATTCAATTTGCTTTATTAAAATCACAACATGTTTCGACCATTTTATCGGGTCATCATCAGGTGAATACAAAAGCTTAACAAGTGATCTACAGAACTGCAAAACACTTTCCCTCTTCATATGGTCTACACAGTTCAAAAGTAAAGACCATAGCCTAGTTAGGCTAGCAAACATCCATCAGTCCATGTGATGATGAACTGGAAAATGGCCACCATAAAGATGGAGACAGGAGAATGTTATTAAGAGTAATCTTAGGAAAGCGTATTGTGTGAAGAGAAGTGGGTGGTTCTGGCTAGGAATCCTATCCAGTCATCACGATTTGGTATTCAGATGCTGAATATTTTCATTCTGACAGCAGTGCTAAATTCAGTGATAAAAAACAGTTTTATGCTAAATTACCAATGCATTACATTTAACAACAGTTAGGGTACGTATGAATTCAGGAGTGAAGAGTTCATTTTTATAATAAACACACAATGTATAATAAATTTGTGTAATAATTTATAACATACCTGCAATACTTTCCAACTGAGATAAATTTCCTATGAAGAATATCATGCTTGTTGTACATATAATAAGTAGAATAAATAAGATAATTTTCATCTGCCAAATATTTGTCATGCTGTTTCAGGTAGGCATACCAGCTTCATTCTTGAATAAATTCGATCATTCCTGGTAATATAAAAATATTACCACAAATACAACCTTAAATTACAAAATGAAATTACAAAATGTCTAAAACAATTCATTTGGGTAATTATAAAACAATGAGTCGAACCTATAAGTCCAGGTCACCAGTTTAGTACTTGACCTACTGGTAAACTAGTTTCATCTGACCTACCTTACAACACTGTATTAAAACAATTAATTAATTAAAAAAGAGATGAACAAATTAAAGTCAGAAAATGTGTCAAATGATAAACGTATATACACCTACGAAATTTCATTACCTCAGTTCTTTCAAACTTGCACCAACCACTTCCCACCTGTCATTCACCAATTTCAAATTCAAGTTACGTTCGTTGTCGTACACCTGCTGGAATGAGAGAAGTGACAGAATTTGTCTACATTCCCATATATACCAACAATATTGTTCTTGCTGAATAAAGATTGGCAGGTCATTTATAGCAGAGGTCACACTTGCAGCGAAAAAAATACAAATATAATTGTATAATAAGTAAAAAACTTCAATGACATAACGGCAGACGACCCTTCAGAACGTTCTGAACGTACATCGATCGTCAAGTTCACAGAAGTACGGTTCAGGTCTTTTGCATACAGCTTTCGCATCGGTTCGAGACATTTTAAATCATCTCATGCGTACTTCAGTTGAAGGGCTGAGAAAATGAACTTCACGAATAGTGTATTTTCTGCGGTTTTACGACAAATACGATCAATACTACAGTTCATCAAATATAGATACGGAACTTAATGCTGTGGGAAACGTAAGACGGGCACGGATTACTAAGAATTACATTAGCACCATCTAAACACGAGAGTACAAGAGTTACTTGCACTAATCACAAATAATTCTACTGTTACTCGAAGATGTCGCATAGTCGCATATTTGAACCAATCACAAGAGCACCACAAGAGTGTGCATGTTTAACCTTATGGGTGTATAACTGGTGTCCGTGTAGGCAAAGGTTTGTCTGATAAATTTCCTATCCAGAATGATCTAAAACAAAGAGATGCTATATCGCCACTCCTTTTCAACTTTGCTTTAGAATATGCCATTAGGAAGGTCCAGGGAAACCAGTGGGACTGAAATTGAACGGGATACGTCAGCTATTGGCCTATGCCGATGATGTGAATCTACTGGGTGATAATGTAGATACCATAAAGAAAAAAAAAAAAAAAACTTTAATTGACGCAAGTAAAGAGGCTGGTCTAGAAGTAAACACAGAGGAAACTAAGTATATGTTGCTGTCTCGTCAATAAAATGCAGGTCAAAATCATGATATAAAGATAGGAAACAGATGTTTTGAAAATGTGTCACAGTTCAGATATTTGGGAACAACAATAACAGATCGAAACCTGATTCACCATTCAGTCCAGAACCTCTCGTCCTCTCGTCTGCTGTCCAAAACTTAAAAATTAGAATATACAAAACTATAATTTTGCCCGTGGTTCTGTATGGGCGTGAAACTTGGTCTCTGACATTAAGGGAGAAACAGAGACTGGGGGTGTTTGGGAACAGGGTGTTGAGGAGAATATTTGGACCGAAGAGGGTTTAAGTGACAGTAGGTTTGAGAAAACTACACAATGAGGAGCTTCATAATTTCTGTTCTCCAAGTATAATTAGATTGATCAAGTCAAGGAGGATGGGGTGGGCAGTGCATGTAGCACGAATGGGGGAGTCAAGGAATGCATATAGGAAAAGCATAGGTGGGAAAGCCAGAAGGAAAGAGACCACTGGGAAGACCAAGGCATAGGTGGGTGGACAATATTAAAATGGATCTTAGAGAGATAGGATGACTAAGAGTATAAGGTCCACTTCCTCTGGGGGAATAATTATTGTTTATATTATACGGGCAGTAGTATTTACAGTTTAGTAAAGTTGCCTTGCAGGTGGTTGAAACATAAAATACAAAGTGTAGTAACGTAAGGAACATGTTTCTTGTCTCGAGCAAAGTCTGTGTATGGTGTGAATTCTACACAGCCGGAGGAGACAAACGGCTTCCGTGTTTTGAATGAGACTATAACTAATATCTGTAATCATGCGGCGGTTTTAGTGTTCATTGTCCTATCTGATACATATGGTGTTCCAGGTATGCTTTATGTAATGGTTCATTGACAGTGTTATCAAACAGGGAGGAATGCAAGTTGGAATTATCGCAGTATAAGTAGTGGACCAAATCAGTCACAAACAGCTCTGCGAATCGAACACAGAACTTAATGTATTACTCAGGCCGCGCCATAGCTCAAGCGGTTAGTCGCTGGCTTCCCACGGCGGTGGCCCGGATTCGATCCCGGGTCTGGTCAAGTGGGATTTGTGGTGGACAAAGTGGCGCTGGGGCAGGTTTTTTCAGAGTACTTCGGTTTCCCCTGCCAATCTTCATTCCATCAATTGCTCCACAATCACCCTCACCTATCATCTGGGTCTGGTACAATAGCCCAGAAGTGGCAGCAGTACAAGGGACTTAGTCCCATCCTACTAGCAATAAAAGAAATAATGTATTAGTCCCACCCCACTAGCAATAAAAAAATAATGTATTACTCTCTTCCTTATGCTTGCTTCCTATTTAGTAATTAGGACTCCTCTGATATTTATTAAATTTGTGTTTTTCCTTCTCTAACGACAAATGAAGCAAAAGGAGGTTGGAGAAAATTACACGATTTTGAGATTTGTTATTTACGCTCTTCCCCATAATATTATCGGATGACTTGAAAGCACTATGGATGCTAAGAGAATAGTACATAACACGCATAAGGGAGATGTGAAAAGCACAGAAAAACTTATAGAAAACGCCAGCTGTGAGACGTACACAAGGAACGGAAGAAAATATAGAAATGAGTCTTTGGTGCAATGATTTCAACTGGCATAGGATAGGGCCCACTGACGGATAATTATGAACTAGGTAATAGATTTCGTATCCATAACACAAGAGAATTTGTGGATTAGTTTAGAGGTTATATGTACTGTATAACAAAAAGCTTCATTATTTATACTGTCACGTGTAGGGTGGTACGCGTGACGAAAATAATGGGTTTAAAATCAGATGATTCTATTTATTAGCATTTCGGATACAACTTCTCTTAATCACAATTAATAAAGCGCCATCGCTGATTTACACATTTTCCAGTTCACCGTTGCACACGCTCAAGGATTCTTCGTCTTCACTAGTCGTCTCCTGGCAACGAATCTCCACACAGAAACCAGCACTTCAAATCATTATGAAGTGTTCTTGTCATTTCTTGTTCAAGTACCCTGGAACTCAACTAAAACTCTCTATAGCTGTAAGCGGACTCGTGTTTTATAAACGCGGCACGGACAACACAGAAAATACAGTTCTACTCTTACGTAGCGCAGACCACTCATGAAACCAGATATATGATAGCTAAGTACTTTTAAAATGTGACGTCATTTTGCCTGCGTGGAATTGTGTTAACCGAATCGTTGCCTAGAATCGGGTTGCAAAACCCCGTTGTTCCATTATTTGGTAGTGTACTATTTATAAACGGCTGTTTCTGTGGCTCAACCGTTCTTGCACGAGCAAATACGCCACAATGAGGTTTCAGATATTACTAGGATAATCAATTCAAGGGAGTTGAGATGGGCCGGTTATGTAGCACTCATGGGAGAGGAGAAATTTCTATGCAAATCTTAGATTTCAGAAAGAAAAGAAAAGAGACCACAAGGAGTGCCCAGATATAGGTGGAAGGAAAGCGTTAAAACAGATCTTAAAACAATAGGATTGGAGTATGGGGACTGCATTCTTCTGGCTTAACTTTGGGAAAAGGCGGGCGGTTATGAAAAAGTTAATGCATCTTTGCGTTCTATTACTTAAAATATTGTGACATGTCAACCTGTTGTTGGGCGACGGGATGTGGAACGAGTTACCACGAAGGCAGACTCTTAATAAACAGTCGATTGCTAAGTTACGCAACAATGAAACGTGGTAATGCAACCCGCTTCTAAACACCAGCCGGTAAACAAGACTTCCATGAAGGCGCGATAACGTCATACTGCAGTAGTGAGTAGGGATCACGTGACTTCAGCGTTTCAGTAAGTGACGTCACATACCACCCCACCGAGACCGTTGCTACGCAACGGTCGGTAAACACCCCTTCTACGCAAAACTTAGGACGAACTGCGTTTTCCGTGCTGTCCGATTCGAGGCTGCGTGACGAGCCCGATCCACCGAGTGGAACTAGTTGTGGAACGGAATACAGAAGAATATAGGAGGTCGGCCTGTGAGGATGTAAAGTGTGATTGGAAGATTTTATGTGCAATATGTGATACTGAGTGATAGCTGAAAAGTCAGGAGTGAAGACTTATTGTGTGAATTATGAGACTTTGTGTGTGCTATAGTGTTTCGAGAATTGGGAGTGCGTAATCCAGTGAGACTTGTATGTTATACCCTAAATTAGTGAAGACTACTGCAGATGGACTGAAGAGATTAGCGTGTAGTGATTGTAAATTGCGTAAATCAGTAACAGTGTAATAAGTAACTGTAATTACGACCTAAACTCATTCGAAACGTTGGTTAACACAATATCTACACTGCGTCACATCCCAGAAGACATCATTCTTCATAGTCACCGCCGTGAAAACCTTAAATCTTACACATTTTATGACGTTTCCCTGTGAGTGGTTAAGCATCACGCTAGGAAGGCGTATGGAGGACGGGAAGTAGAGCTCCACGCATTACTAACCTTAGCAGTAGGTGAAGATGAGTAGTTGTCTTCACACTCCGGTTGCTTTACTCCCGAAGAAATAGATACTAGCAATCGCTGAGGTACTTCGAATTTAAATACTTATTAAAAGCTACAACTTGAATCATCGTTGTTGCAACAAATCGTGACTTAAGCACAAAAAGTAAGTAAGTAAAAGTATCCCTGTAACAGGCCGTGGAGGCCCATACTGTTGTGAGATGTTGAGGTTCTCACATTTTCTAGACAATCGGCTTATAGATGGCGGCAAGGTTGTCAGCACTACTCGCCAGCCACCTTTTAACTCCAAGAATATTCCTTGTACACATTTCTGTTAGAAGCTGAGTCGACCCCAGGGCCACAGTGCGGCTGGAAGGATTAGGTCAATTGAAAAAAATCCAATGACCTCAACGGAACTTGAACCGCGACCTTCCGGCTTGTAGCATAATGCCTCAACCAACTAAGCTACAGTGTCCCGTAACTTAAGCGTAAATGCAACTATAAATGTCCTGTATGCTTTATAAACCGCAAGTTTTCCTCAGGTAATGAACTCGGGACACAGCACAGGAGAAAAAGAGTTTCCTTTCTTCCGTATTTTCAGACTAGCCCAGACAGCCTGCTATAGAATTGGTAATGGGGGATGTTTTTTAGGGAATAAACCGACCGAGGCGTGAAGCTGACCACTCACCTTCATCTAGATGACGAAGCTACACCTCCACTTCCCTTTAGGTATTCATGATGTGGCGTTTAATTGATTAAGTACAGGATACTTTTACTTTAACGGAATTCGGCGGCCTGATGGGCCAGGATCTGGTCGCTCTGAAGAACTAGCCTCTTGTGTGGGTGTGGCTTCATGTTGCAGCAACCTGGGCCCGAGCACTGTGATGAGGGTGGCTCCAACAGGTGCCGTGATCAGGATTGCCAGCACAACAACAATCAACACTATACTCGCGGACATCTCGGCTTCCGCTGAGTGAACTTTCCTCGCAGTATCAAGGGCAACTGGTCCAATGGCGGCCTGTGCATTGTAGAGACAGCATACATTAGCGAACTAACTGCATGGGCCAGTTAGAACCTTTCAACTTCTCAAGAAATTTTCCGTCTCTCATGTGCACTTGGAGCTTCATTACCTTCCATACTGAAAGTTATCATTCTCACCGCGGCGGCCCGGGTTCGATCCCGGGTCTGGTCAAGTCGGATTTGTGGTTGACAAAGTGGCGCTGGCGCAGGTTTTCTCCGAGTACTTCGGTTTCCCCTGCCAATCTTCATTCCACCAATTGCTCCACAATCACCCTCACCTATCATCTGGGGCTGGTACAATAGGCCAGAAGTGGCCGCAGTACAAGGGACTTAGTCCCTCCCCACTAGCAATAAAAAAAAGAAGAGTTACCATTTAGAGCGTGCCATAGTTCAGGCTTTTAGTCGCCTTCTTCCTACCGGGACGGCCCGGGTTCCAGTCCAGGTCAGTTCATGTGGATCTTGTTTTGGACGAAATGGCACTGGGGCAGGTTTCCTCCGAGTACTTCGGTTTCCCCTACCAATTCTCATTCTACGGACTGCTCCATATTCATCATCATCATCATCATCTATCATCAGGGAGTGGTACAATAGGCCAATTAATTAAAATTAATTAAAATTTAAAATGTCATCATTAGTCCTTATCGTGAGCCACACGAATCCAGTCCACATTCTCAGACTCTCATTCTCAATTCTCTCATGCGTGTTACATGCGATTCTTACATTCGCAAAAAATAAATACGATTTATGTTTTAAAACACGGAACTAAATTTAAACAGTCCAACTGCCTTCAAACAACTTGTAGCATAGCGCAGGGCAATGTGTTAGTATGAAACTGCAAATAAGGTAGTACGTTGTCTAGCGCTATTTTTCCATCTGAGAGAAGAAACAGCATTGTGTTATGGCATTATACTCGTATTATGACATTTATCCTTTCGAATTATAGCCTAGAATTGGATATATTGAACGTGGCCTTCCGAAGGTTTCCTCAATTTCTCCAAACAAATGTATGGACCCTTATCACATCCTCACTCAGCAGTTGTGATTAGTAATTCACACTAAACCGTTCACATCCCCAGAAACTCTACATCATCTAGCAGTGACACGGATCCTTACAACAAATATTCTGTGATAATGGGCTGATTCTATAACAATAGAAGCACATTCTAACTTAAACAAATACAGGCAACAATAGAAGAACTGCCGCTTCTATGCGACGGCCAGTAACCCCCCCCCCCCCCTCTTAGGAAGGTGACACCAATATAAAGGAAACTGTGTCTTCTATGCGCTCTGTGCCATGCAAACACACAGAACAATATAGTCTCTATTGCTAGGCAACGAAGCTGTAAACATTCATCCTTAACAAAAGAAGACGGAGTTTTTCGTTGGGTCCGTGCAGAGGAGTTATCTTGAAGACAATCGGCGCTACGAGTCAGTAATCGGCAGGACATAAGCGCGAAAAGTTCGTAGTTGAAGAAGAATTAGAAGTCAGCCAGTGAAGAATTAACGTGTGATTAGAAGACTTTATTTGTGTGTAATATATGCAGTGTGTAATTCAGTGAGACTGTTATACTCGTAGTTCCTGTGTTTTATTTGCATTAATAGGAGATGACTGTATATAACAACTGTAACCGCCCCATGAAGAAACACTGAAGGGTGACTTAACCCGATTCTTGGGCCGCGCCATAGCTCAAGCGGTTAGTCGCTGGCTTCCCACAACAGCGGCCTCAGTTCGATCCCGGGTCTCGTCAAGTGGGATTTGTGGTGGACAAAGTGGCGCTGGGACAGAGTTTCTCCGAGTACTTCGGTTTCCCCTGTCAATCTTCATTCCACCAAATTCTCCATCATCATAAGCATCCGGGGCAGGTACAATAGGCCAATCAGTGGCCGCCGTGCCGAGTGGACCCAGTTGGACCCCACCACTACCTCTAAGTCAGCGTCTACACGAGCGCACAAAATGCGTCCGTTGTAACGAACGTCGTGCGTCCTTTGTAAAAATAAACAAGAGAGGCGAATGCTACGCTTTCTTCTGGCTCCATTGCAGACAAAAAAACTACGCACCGCATTCTGCAACTGTGTGGTGTCCTCAGCAACGTCCGTCATAAAGTACGTTGCAACGGACGCATTTTGTGAGCTCGTGTAGACGCTGCCTCAGGAAATTAAAAAAGAAAAAAACATCAGGCATCTACCGACATAGTCCTTTGACGATGAAGGTTGAATGGCCAGTGAATGCAGTGGTACGGACTTCGCTTCCAGCTTATTTAAATTTTGAGTAAACATCCTTAAATGATTGGAATATTTTGAAAAAAAAATATTAAATACATATATATATAATCTTCAAATAAAATGTTGTAATCACAGATATTTGAATTACACTGTTTAGCTGTAATTATACAAGGCTAACTCGCTGAAGTTCTATCTATATGTATATGGCCCTACGGCCCTTTGTTGAACTTTAGCCACTTTTTCAGTTCTTGATCTTTTACACAGTTGGTGGGGCTCCTTGGAAGGGTGATCAGCTCGTCGCAAGGACACTACCTGCACACAAGACAGCACAAACACAGAATAGACGCAAACAGACAACCATGCCTCAAGTGGGTTTCGAACCCACGATCCCAGTGTCTGAACGGGCAAAGACAGTTCGTGTTTTAGACCGGGTAGACACTATGAACGGCAACTCCCTGAATTACAATACTAAATAAGTTACTTTCTTGTAGCAAACATCGGCAAATAAAACAGTAAATTAAATTTATTTTGCTGTAGTGTAGACTATAGATGTCATAGCTGTTTATAATTATGCGTTTATGTTGTAGTCACGGAAGCAGCTTTGGTCCAGAAACAATCCCACTTCACACTTCCGACTTAAACTTCACGCTCTTGCTAACGCCCCGAGTTCAACGAATACTGCACTGGAAATGTGGCGACGGATTCCGGCTTTGCAACTTTATTTGTAGCATTTCCTGCGCTGCCTAACAGTCCTTTCATACAAGGCTCTTTACCATCATGGGCCAACAGGTTTCTAACTAATGAAATCCTAAATTCCCTAGGTGTAATTCTTGTTCCCACTGCAAGACGAAAGGAAAGTATCCATGTTCAGAATGGTTAGGTTCAGGAGATGAAAGGAAGTGTGTCTGTTTCAGCGTGCTTCAGGAAATAGAACGGCTGCTTGCCATTCATTCCCCCTTATCCATAAAAACACTCTTCCTGCTGTAGCTTCAACGATGTGAGGTTTCACAGCATTCTCAAGCTCGCAGCACAAGTTACGTTCTGCAGGTGGACTCTACAGAACAGCATGAATACTTCCAATGAGCTTGAACCACTGTTTACATGTGACGCTTCTTGCCAGAAGGACGCCTTGTAAAAGTATGGACACCCGTTATTTCCAGAATGTGGCCCCCAGATTTATGACTGTTGCCGTTGGGGTGAAGTTGCCGCATGGAAGTCTCATGCCCCTCTTCGTCAGAGTAAGCATCATTTTCGCTATTCACATTTAGTTCAATTTCGCCGCTCTGCAGCTCCTTTCTTGAGGCCACGGTGACTGATTAGCGTCTACAGAATCTTCGCTGATATTGTCATACTAATATATTCACTTTCTGCGTTGCGAGTCGACTGAGAAAATTCACTACACATCCGGAAACATTACGTCAACGAAAACACGGCGCGTCTTAAGTCATCAATCATTGTACGCCAGTAAGACGCGAGTCGGGTGAACTGCAGAGGGTCAAGACATGAGAAACGCGTTATCTGAGAGACCTCAGCATCTCCGATGTTGCCAATTCTTGTGAGTTTTCGAATATAAAATCAAATGTTTAATTACGTTACTTGGGGACTGCTGTCTATTTTATCAGTCTTTGTCAAATGCCAGATGCCATAGCGTCTCAGGAGATATGGGCTGATCTGTGTGAACTGCTAATCAGAACTTATGCGACAGGGTTTGTTCAGGATCCACATATTCGTTTGGAGAGACCGGGGAGCACACCAAAAGCCACATTCAATATATCCGTTTCTCGGCTGAGATTTGAAAATTAATTCGTACTAATCCGCTCATATCCCCCGAGATACGACATCCTCTAGCTTTGGGCACATATTCATAAAACAAATAAACAAGGGCCCCAAGCTTTCGCCAACACAATTGGTTTCTGTGCTCTGTGCGTAATCTAGCACCAAGCCACTACAGAGGGTTCTGGAGTGGAGGTACAACGCCATGTATTCACTACATTTTGATGAGTGATCAGTTTCACTCCCAGAGAAGCAACCTCGGTGTGTACTGGGTGGGCCTCAGACCCGGTGCAGACCAGCGTTGAAGAATAAATCCCTGGTCGTGACGAGAATTATCTCCAACTGTCGGCATGGCAGACTTACCACCGCATCGACGTCGCGATCAGATGGGCGTCACTTCATAATTCGTGTTCTTCAAACATTTTTAAGTGACCAAACGAATGATGGTCTGAGCAGAACATGTAGCACGCATGAGACAGATAAAATGCATACAATCTATGGTCAAAAAATTTTAATGGATGACGTCACTTAGAGGGCCTAATAACAGGGAAGGTAATATCAAATGTATCTTCGAAAAGGAATGTGTCAGTTTGTGAACTCGATTAAACTTGTCAACATAGGGTCCGGAGGCGGGAATTTTTGTGATCTCTTACACTGAATAGTTGAAGTTCTCAGATATTTTTAAACGATTTAACAAAAAATTACGAAGCAAAAGAGGCTTTGAAATTTATCATATATAATATACGGCCAAAGCTACAGAGAACTAAGTGAAACTTTGCAGTCCATATGTATGCGGTCGGTGACCAAATATGATAAAACGATTTACCTGTACAGTTGCTTTGGGAAACCAGGCCAATGAAACAAACAGCTTCTCCTTCAAGTTCAGTTTACCGCCAGATGCTGCAACGACGGAAATTAATATTCTCGCCTATTTGAAAGAAAAAATAATATGTGAAATACATCACACAGAAAACAGGTCAAAATTATTTAATGAATTTCCTGCTGTACTAAGAATTGAAGAAGGGACTGTGATAAAGTGAANTATAAATCACTCCGTCCAATGTGACCTGTAAGTTTTTTACTACATGAAAACTTAACACCCTTACATGTTTCGGTCTCTGTGGACCATCTTCAGAGGGCAAACATCACTACAAATAGGAAACCACCATCACATAAGTTTTTACACGTAAAGTACGTACACTTATATGCTACAACACAAAGTACACTAGATAGAATATTTCACAAACACAGCAGTTTCCTGGGAATGTAAAGTTTTTTTAAAAAAATGTATAAAATTTCTTGATGCCAATTAAAAGTTTTTTGGATTGTCAATAATTAAAATTCGTAAACCATGCAGGCTCGTGTTCGTCCTCCCATCGTCCCTCTTATATGGGGCAGATATTGTGCCACCTGGCTATCTTGATGTGGAGGTTCTTTATATCGTCCAGGGTTTGCTCGTGGCTGCTGTGCTGTAAGGGTGTTAAGTTTTCATGTAGTAAAAAACTTACAGGTCACATTGGACGGAGTGATTTATGTTTGTTATTTAATGAATATACTGCTGTACTAACAATTGAAGAAGGGACTGTGATAAAGTGAAATGAAATTGTTTGATTCCTGCAAGTAGTGTGTTTATCTCATACACATAAATATTTTCAATTCTACATCTGTATTCTTCCGCTCTGTATGTTGTAAATGTTTAGTCTGTAAAACTCATGTTATTATGCTATCAGCTATAAATATTTCCTCTCTAACATCCAAACTAATTTTCTTTATACCTCATTAATATTTTCTCTCCAAAATCCGTGCTATTACATGTTATATCTCAAAATCAATTTCTTCTTAACATCCATGGTATCCGTTAGTGTGTTAATGCAGCATATTATTTTAGTGCTACAATTTAACGCAAAGTTCTGCTGTTAATAATAGCACCATATACACGTAGTTAAATATATACAGAGTCAACCATTTAACGTTATCTCTCTCTCTCTATGGCTCTATAGCAATTTAGAGCTTGGCCGATTTTTCAGTCTCTGAATCTATACATAGTCGGTATGAGTCATTGGACGGGGGATCATCCCGTCGCAAGGCCGCTTCCTACACACAGAACAACGCAAACACAGAATAAAAGTACACAGACATCCATTCCTCGAATGGGATTCGAACCCACGATCCCAGGGTTGGAGACCTAGACAGGGTAGCCAATGTGATCGGCCACTCAGCGTTATCACCTGAAATAATTGATTTATTATCCATGGAATTAGGAAAAATTTCCCACAAATTTGCGTTGTTTCAAGGAGGATACGTGGTGTAAGAAACAGAATTTTTATTTTGCGTTTCCTTTACGACAAATGATGATCAGCTTCGCTCTCTAAAACAGAACTTGAATTTGTCACTTCCACAAGATTTGTTTATCAGATCAATAAGAATCCACTGCGTATCTTTCGGACGAACCGTTCCTGTCATATCGCGGCCGAAGCACAAGCGTGGGCTGTTCCGCACGACTAAGCTCTCCCAGTTGGTCGATGACGCAGACAAAGCGTTTCACTCTTGTCGTTTTGGTCGCCTTAACACACGAACGGTTGGCCGGATTGGTACTCGATTTTTGGTCGCTGAATTTGTGTGTTTCTATTTTACAATTCTTGTGGGAGTCAGAAAATCTAGTTCTATTCTAAAAAAGGGAATGTGATCTCGCAGGAAATGTAATATACAAATAATCTGTTTCCCATATAATCTATCCATCTTGAAAGCATGCAAATACTACCTGAGACATTTCTTGTTACGATAGAAAATAAAGGAGTTAATCCAGATGATAACGTTAAGTGGTTCACACTGTGTGTTTACAGAACAACTTATCTGACATTGCTGAATGTATGTTTTGGGCGGGCTTGGCCCACTGATTTTAAATGGGTCCTAATTGCATACATTCTAATATCTCTGTCAGCAGAAATGGAACACTTTCGATTACACCAATTCTAAAAGAGAAAAATGGCCAAAAGGTTTCGGAACCCTACAGCCACTAAAGATACTTCCTCAGTCACTCTAATTGTAATCATACAATATCGTGTAACCGTCCTCTTTACTTTTTTTGTACTTATATGCCGGCTCCAGTAGACCACTTAACTCTTCACAGGTTTATGCCACGACAGTAACTGAGGCCATAGGAAACTGCACCCTCTAAGCCAGGGCACTGCTCCAAACCAACGACACAGTTTCCACTGTTAATAAACTATTTATTCGAAAGTGAAACTTTGCAACTTCCTTGCCGCTAGCAAAGAGTACAATGGTCCTTTAATACGAGGGCTCTTCGGAAAGTAACTTTCGGTGAGCTGTTACGAAAACAAGCAACGAGAAAAAATGTTATTCTAAACAAAAATACATATATACGTAAGCTACTTCTCAAAGTAGTCGCCGCCCGAATCGATGTACTTGGATCGGGGATTAAGTGTGTGTATATCTGTGTCAAAGTATTCTGCCACCTGTGAGCTCAACCACGTTTTGACACCTTCCATCAACTCCTCATTACTGTTGAAGTACTGTGATATCAACTAGCTCTTCAGGTATTTAAACAGGTGGTAGTCACTCGGAACGAGATCAGGGCTGTAAGGAGGGTTGTCAGACAACGCCGTGTTGATATGCTCTAGCAGTGCTTGAGTGCGAACAGTTGTATGCGGACGCGCATATTATGGAGGAGCACTACACCGTATGTCAGCATTCCACGCGCTTTGTTTGGGATGGCCCTACACAGTTGTTTTAGTGTTTTTCAGTACACTTCTGATGTTATTGTGGTCCTTTGTTGCATGAATTCCACCATCAGTGATCCTTCCCTGTCCCAGAAAACTGTTGCCATCAGCTTTCTGGCAGGCAGACGTTTGTTTAAATTTTTCGGCTTATTTGGTGAATATGCGATCATCCACTGCTTTGACTGCCCTATCCGGAGCTTACGCTCCCGCTAGCACAGCGTCCTGCCTCATTGGAACACACACCTCCTCGCCAAGACAAGGCGGTGGTTCTCGAGGAGGGGTCACAACATTCGGTTCATACACATGAGCAACATAAACCTCAAGCTAAGCAGAAATGTATTTCAAAAAATGCTTGGGTTGCGACTTCAACCATCTTGGCCGGTGAGACTTCATATTGCCATTAACAAGTCTGCGATAGAAAGCGAATTTTTATAAAATCGATCAGATCGTTTGTTTTTCGAACGTCGGAAAAAGCAAATTTCTTTCATAATATAAAACTTTAAGGTACAAGAAAACCACTGGGGGTTTTGGACACTTTGATGAAACCACGATAAACTATGTGTCGTTGCACGAAAACTCGGACAGCAATATTGAGCCTAGTGACAACTACATCACCAAAAGCAGTTTCACACACACCAGACCAATCTCACGTACAAAGGTCAAGTTGACGCGGTAAATATATCTGTCAGGAATGACGAAGTCAGAGTCCAAGGGAACAGTGTGTAAGCCAGTAAAATGTGCAAATTCTATGTCAATTAAATTTTAGCTGTTAGCATCATAAGCGCAACTCCAAGGTCAAGAAGACACGAGGAAATGCATAATAGTGGCAGTGTAGCAGTGGTAAAGCGAGTTGATAGTAATAACCAGGATCATTAAATTCCCCTAATAAAATAACACCAGGATTATTTGTGTCTAGCTAGCGTTTTCGAAGAAGGAAAATAGATTGTAATAGTTTCTGCTTGGGTCCCAAGAGATAGTTGTTACCAATAAGCAAATTTTGGCCATTAACAATAGGAATTTTCTTTCCATGGCTCTTCCAGCCCATTCGGGACCCAGGCCTTTTATTCAGTTCCGTAATCATTTTTCACAGACGGTAGGATTTCTTGGACGAGTGATTATCCCGTTGAGAGGCCTCTATCTAAACACAGGACAACACAAACACAGAATAAACGCATAAACACAGCAAACATCCATGCCTAAATTGGAATTCGAACCCACGATCCCAGCGTCCGAGAGAGGGAAGAGAGTTCATGCCTTAGACCGCGCGGCTACTGTGACCGGCCAAACACATTTAGAGCAATTAACAGCTAGTTATTATAAGTATAGCGACGACAGTATTAAAAATAACAACAATGAAATATACACTTACCGTAAGCGACACTGCTAGGCATGCGATCCCGAGTCCGACGATTTTAAGATCCAGGAAATATAAATCGATTTCATTGCCTATTAAACCGAACAGAAACGGGTAGAAGATGGTCCACAGGACTGCGAAGTTCTCTGACACAGGATTCTAAAAGCACACAATCTCATGCAATGTTACACAGAATGCAATAATTGTATTTATTTCACCGAACAATCCCAAACCGGGTAATAAGACAAAGTCAAGTAAATAAACCTGTAAACTCCTGTGCAGATATGGAATGCAACAACATTAGTATTACTGTGAAAAATTTGAGTAAGCACACCTAATTTTAACAAAGAATGTCATGATTTTCATGGGCATGATAAGGAGTGTTTATTCTGCAATTGCAATTTATGGAAACATTATAAGTACAGTTTATTTCTAAATATGAAAAGAACATATCCTCTTGGATTTCACACTGCCAAATGCAACGAACAGACACATAATGAAACGTCATCTGTATAAAATGTGTTGAGCAGACGAGAAATGAAAAGGGAAATTGAAAGTTTTAAATGGCCCACAAGAGAGTCTAAACTAGGAAGACCAAACACATAGTCACGCAGCCGTCTTCTAACTGAGATCATCACTGAAAACGCTGAGACCTCGCCCGAAACACAAACCACAAGACCGAAATGGATCTCGCAAGCCTCGTGAGCTGCCCCTTCATTTGCTGATCTGGGTATTCTCAACGTCAAAGAACTCTGTGCTTGTGTGGCACCCGTGGTCCGTCTTGACGAAACAACCACCTTTATGGAAGGAACTAAATTTCGACATTAACACCATTTATATTGGAAAAGTGTGTGGCTTACTGCGGAGATAGCTACAGCCACGTAAACTGAATCTTTGCGGTAGGCAGGACACCAACGGCATTCTTCGACAGTTGCTGAGAGCAAGGGCCGTGCCATAGCTCAGGCGATTAGTCGCCGGGTTCCCACTCCGGCGGCCCGGGTTCAGGTGAGGTCATGTGGGATGTGTGGTGGGTGAAGTGGCAATAAAGCAGGTTTTCTTCGAGTACTTTGGTTTCCCCTGCCAACTCTCATTCCACCGAACGCCCCACACTCATCAGTTTTACTATCCGGGGCTGGTGCAACACGCCGTGGCTGACGTATCAAGTAGAGTGAACTCAGTCTTACCCCACCCCACGAAATAAAAAGAAAGTACCAAGAGCAAATAGACGCAGCGAGAGTGTGGAAATAATTGGATGCACGGGGTCGCGAAAGAAGTAGGAAGTACTGGG